CTTCAGAGTTGACTCCTTCAGAAGCTGCTGAAGAAGTAGAGGGACTTCCTGCTGACATCTTTACTGAAGAAGTAAACCTTTCTTCAAGTGAGTAATGTAAGATGAAGAATACTTCTTCATTTATAGCATATGTCCCACTGTGAGGTATTAATTGAATACTCTTAATTATAAAGATATTGAAGTGAGAGTGGAAGAAGTAGTAGATTGGCAGATTGACAGAAAAATATGTGAGGGACCCTGAAATTGGCTCAGCCAAAGTGAATGCATTTTCAGGATGTAGCAGTATTTTAAGGCTATATTGATACCTACAGGTGGTTTTCAGATAAAGGAGTTCCACACTAGCGCAAACTTTATTTTAAGTTTTTCAACTCCTAAGGCTGGAAATGATTCCCTTAACCTTATGTAATATGTTTATGTCAATAAATAGAACTACAGGATTGATTGTGAAAAAAAAAATTATATATCATTCTAGCTTTTATTGTAGTTAAATTATTGTATTTGATTCTGTCCTTTATTTTTGCAGTTACTTCAATGGAGCAAAGAATGGCATCTCCAGAATGGCAGCCAGAGAAGAGTAATGATCTGTATCCACTTCACAAACACATTTTGGTGAAACGTTCCCTTCGTTGTCGTCATTGTGAGCATAACTTATCCAAGCCAGAGTATAATCCCTCGTCTGTCAAGTTCAAGATTCAACTTGGGGCTTTGTAAGTAGGACGTGAACTTTCTCTTACTGATTTTGATTAGAATACCCTTTCAGTTTTCTTTATTTAAGTGAGCAGTGTAGAATATATTGAATGCTTGGTAATTATTCACTTTTACTGTAGATGGTGGAATGCTGAGCCTGTTGCTATCCTGAATATATATTTTTTTCCATTTTGGGGTTTTGCTAGCTTAAATCAATTTATATTTAGATTTATGATATTCCAATATTGAGCTACAATACAAAGGTCACTTCCACAGCGCCAGAGAAGAGACTGTAGACTGACTCTCTCTCACACACACACAGATACACTCTCTCTCTTTCTTTCTTCCTTTCTCTCTTTCTTTCTCTCATTCCCTCTCTCTTTCTTTCTCTCATTCCCTCTCTCTTTCTTTCTCTCTTTCTTTCTCTCATTCCCTCTCTCTTTCTTTCTCTCATTCCCTCTCTCTTTCTTTCTCTCTTTCATTCTCTCTTTATTTCTCTCTTCCTTTCTCTCTTTCCCTCTCTCTTTCTTTCTCTATTTCCCTCTCTCTTTCTTTCTCTCTTTCCCTCTCTCTTTCTTTCCCTCTTTCCTTCTCACTTTCCCTCTCTCTTTCTTTCTTTCTTTCCCTCTCTCTGTATTGTATCATTTAATGGAGAAGTTGGTTGTGTTTTTTCCTAGTTGAATTTACTCATGGCAAAATAACCTTATTAATTTTATTGGGCTCAGAATTAGAATGCTATGATTTTTTTTTAAGCTTCTTAACAATGCCACCTCCTCATCCCAGCCATTTCATAATTTTTTTATTGGTACAAAATGACAACCAGGACTCAAGACACTCTGATTGTGGCATTTACTGCTAACAGCACTTCCTAAGAACTGTACCCAACACTGTCAAGATATATATACAGTTTCCTTGGACTAAGGGTTAAAAGGCTTAAATTGAATGAATTACCTGAGATATTTTGAAATTAATCTTTCCTCTAACATTCTGATTTAGAAATTATTACAAATTATTCATATAATCTATATTATCATAATGAAAAATGCTAAGTAACATGCATGTTTTCACTTTTCCCTATGCTTTTATTTGCAAATTATGGAAGTAGCTATAGATTAGATATATAGCTCTAAAAGTAATATTGAACCTGTAGAAAATGTGAATTGTGATAACATGATTTCTTCAAGGGATCATTATAATTTTACAGTTACCATGTTCCTGAAGTAAGGATGGTGCAGCAAGCAGATCTCAAATGGGGTGTTGAGACATCTGTACAGATCTCACTGTGTAATCCAACTCCTCATGATATGACTCTAGCTTTCCTCCCATTTGTCCCTGAAGCACATATTGCTGCACAGCAGAAAGGTAATTGATAATTTGTGTTTATAGTGGAACAACCTTAAGGTACATTATGCATTTGTCTGACTAGATCTGAAGTGGTGGTTGAAAAAAATGTCCCCAAACCTCCCTAGTTATTGACTAGTTATTCACTGGATTTCAACCTAACACTTACTCTCAGGAAACCTATCATAGACTAGAAGTAATGATTATGCTGACTGCTGACTTCACACATCAGTTTGATGAGTTGAAGCTAGGAAATTGTTGTTCATAATTATATAGATTTGGACCTAATCAAAGTGAAGCAAAAGACATGAGGAAAGATGAAAAGGTGTTTAGATTTAGGACAACGATGTTGTTTCACGGATGTCTTTACCTGGAATGAATCCTTTAGTAAAGTTGGCAATGAAGGAGATTATTTTTAAAAATTGAGGGAGATGAGGTAGATAGAGTGTGGCCGGACTCTACCTGCAGATTGGCTGAGTTTCTTATAATCTTGAACTAATTGGTATATCACCTATTTCCTTTTGCTGCGTAGTTTGGTACTTTTACTATTTCAACCACTATTCCTAGTCAATTGTAGAAGAAAAAATTAATGGCACCACTACCTGTAATGTAAATCAGAATTTAGTTGGTGACAAACTTCATTTTGGTAGGGAGGAGCCCCACAATATGATGGGAATGTGCTTTTTTTTTCCAAATTTCTTTGTAAAACGATGATTCTTTCAGGCAAGTGCATCATATCATAGAATAGTTCACATGAAAAGGAAATGAAAAACATAACAAGTTTGTTTACCATGATGATTTTAATTACTTGTTGCTTCAGGTGAGGAACTTGGAGAAGGAGGCAGCCTTAACACAAGCAGCCTAGTCCGAGTGGTGGATATTCCAGTGGAAAAGACTGATCTAACTCCATCAGCAGATGTTGCATTACCACAGGGACAACTTATTCTCACTGCTCGTGATGATACAGCTGAATATGATGACCAGGATGCAAATAGCAGCTTCAATGATGATCCTCAGTATGTATTCGTTATTATATTGTTACTGTATGGATGAATTTGCAAGAGTTCATGTTGGTGTTTATTTCCTTTAGAATTAGTGAACTGAATAGGCATGTTTTTCACTTTCATAGACGCTAATTTCACCTTAATTTTTATATAAATAGTATATTATATATACTATATTATATTTTAATATGTAGATTACATTTTTGCTTTGTCTTATTTTTCTTAGGAATGTTTGTATGTAGATGTTGAATATAATAGATAGAAAGTTGGATGGATAAAAATTATTACTAGAAGGTTTTTCAAAGGAACTAGTCATATTAGGGAGTACATATATGATGATGGATGAAGGTGTTCATTAAGTGTGAAGAAAATAAGTTAATTAGTAACATGAATTACACTGCCAGTAGTTGTGTGACGGGTAACAATGTCAGATTGATTGATTTTTTATTATTATTTATTTTTATTTATTTATTTATTATTTTTTGTGTATGTAAGATTTAAGTAGCTCGAGTTTATCATGAGATGCTGAATTACATGTAAGTAGATTGGTGAAATACTGATATATAAGGATACTATTTTCTAGTGAAGTAGATATCCTGTTGGTTGTGAAGCCTTTACCTTTACTGGCTGTTTTTTTTTTTTTTTATACAGTTGATAGTGTTTTACAGTGCTGGATATTAGGAGTATTATTTTGAGCACTGAGTAATTAACATTGGTATTTTCTTTACAGAGTGGTTGCTTGGAGACGAGCAAATAAAGTTGGTGTTAATCTTCTAGTTACTCCCCAATCTGGTGCTAAAAGGGCCATTGTTGGCTTTGTACTTCGTTATGAATACACCAACACTGTTGCAACGGCAACAGAATCACGAACTGTCACACTGAACATTCCTGTTATGGTAGATGTTGGCCCAGTGTCAGAATAGACTTTACTGTATAGTAGCATTATATCTATGGATTATAAAAAGGCCTTTGGCTTTTGCATCATGTCATTATTGTTGCTGTATAACAGGTAAATGCTTCAGTGCTTATATAAAATTCACATAAAACAAATCTGCAGAAGCTGTTTAGACACAAGCTGTTACTCTGTTTATTATACAGACCTACCCATGTGAAATGAATAGAAGAGAGTGGCATACAGTGTCCTATGGCCTTGTAGTCTGTAACTTAGCATATCCATATTTTTTCTGTGTGAATTTTATTCCTTTTGCACAGTGATTCCATAAAGCATTATTTTCAAGTTTTTTTTTCTGAATTTGTAATTGGCTTAATTTAATATTGCTAAATAAAAATAAATGCACTTGGATTATGTGTTCTTACTAAAAGATATATGCAAGTTTTGGAGGTGAAAACAATTGTAGTATCCTTTTTATTGCTTATTGCAACAACTAAGAGTACTTCAGGCAGAAACAGTGTACACTATACATATTTATTTAAACAAATAATTCTGTCTGATATACTCATTATTATCCTGATTAATTATTTCACTGTTCACTATCACAGAATCAAGCTGTCTGCTTTGTGCCTTATTTCTAATTTGAAAAACTGTCAGTTGCTTATTATTACTGTCCACAAACATCTTAAGAAAAATTATTTGTGGCCACTTGGTGTGCCTTAGAGTCATGAAGAGAGAGCTGGTGTCTGGGGATATATGACTATGGTGTTTAGCATAATTGAAATGAAGGCCATACCTTTTCTTCACAGAAAATTTCTACATGCCAGTTAAATAATGTCAATGGAGCAGAAGCACAAGACGAAAAGAGTTTATTTGTTTAGCTTTTAATTTTGCATGTCCAATTTATCAATAGTCTTTCCGCACAGCCAAAGTAAAAGCATAGCATTTACATTGAATGAATTGCTTGATAATGCAAAATTCTTTCACCAGGTATTTTTTCTAAAAATTGGTAATAGTTATCTTATTGTGTACAAGGATGATGTTTTGTATTTTCATTTGTTCAGTTTCTACTTGTGGATTATATATGAAATTGTAGTTAAGCTGTATATCAGAAGTATTTATTTCTTTTTATACAAGTTGATGAAACTAGACATACTAAATTGTAGATAATTCCTGGGCAGCTTTAATGGTGTAGTATCCAAATATTTTGATTGCAGATATTTGTTTGCAATTAATTATCACATGTATCTCTTATGATATAATAAACCAAATAAAAAGTTGGAGATTTTTTTTTCAATCAAATTGACATTACAAGTATGTACTTTTTCTCACATGTTGGAGGTGAAGTTAATATTTGCTGTTAACCATTTAATCCCCAGTACATAAATGACTTCACCTTATTACCTCATACAATCTTCCATGCAATCCACAAAATTTGCACCCCCCAAAACCATGATTTTTGGAAAAAAAAAAAAATAGTTAAGAATTATGAAAAGTTTGAGCATTGTTTATAAAAGAAAAAAAGACTACGATTGAAAGTTTTGAAAAGGGTAACATTGCTCCCATTTAAATATTGATTGAAAACAGTGACTAAATTACTGTAAAACAACCCACTTTTCACCTAAGAAATGCTTTTATATTTTCATATATAATAAAATTGTTAAATAGTAAATTTTAGTCTAACACCATTTTCTTTCATTCTAATTTTCCACGGAAGTGATAGTCCTCATTCAGTGATTGTTATGTATAAAATAAGTAGGAAATTTGGTAAATCAACCAGAGATGAAAAATACTGTTTCAGTACACTTATTAAGGTATATCCTTTACACCTACCGGGGCTTATATTTGCGAAAATCATCATATGTCTGCTATCTATCAAAAAGTAATCATTGGACATCTAAAAACTCCAGTTCATGTATTATTAAAGAGTGTGCGCAAGGGGTCGCGGGTAGGGGGCTTCATCAGGAACATAAAATAAGCGCACGGCCTGCTGCCTTCGGAAGTTGTTTAGCTCGTCCAGACAACTTATCAGGACCAGCAGGACATCAAGGCCATCATGTTCGGAACCAAGGCGTTCTTTGGTCACAATACCACCAGCTGGGAAGTAAACATTCACTATTTTATCATACCATACATGCTGTAGAGCTTTTGTAACCCCTCTGTTGCATAGGTAACTTAAATGCAACTGACAAACACAAAAATACCCTTCGATAACAGCAATAAAGGGCCATGAAATTACCTACCAATATCTTATGGTTGCCTGCAAGTGTCATTACATACGAATACTATTGTGACCTCATCTCGTCTGCTCCCCTGTTGCGAAGGAGCCGAAATGAACAAGAGGGACCTGTCAAAGCAATCATTTTGAACATGCATTTCTCTCGTCTGTTAGGAGGCCCTGGTGATATTATACAACTCCATAGCGAGCAAGTCTATCATAGGAGGAATTTATTTCATCGGGTTAAAAGCAAGCAAAAGTTTGACTGAGTAGCGGTATTTTTTTAGGATTTTTTATTTTTTTTTAATATTTTTTATTTATTTTTTTTTATGTTGACGTCCCATGTTTGTAAGAATGGAATTGAAAGACAAAGAAATCGTAGAAGAAAATATGTCTAGAAGATGGTAAGTGAAAAAAAAGAAAAGCAACGAGAATGACACCATTTAGTTTGGCCCGAGAGACCCCTTTTCCAGTGTTTCCCATGCTTCAGCCACATATCCTGGTACGTAACAAGACTAAGAAACAAAAGACGACTGGAAAAAGAGGCAAGAAGTAACATGCGAAACAGGTGGTAGATACGAGGACCCTTTAGCTCGTACAAGGGTGCTGGTTAAAGTGAACAGGAATCATCACTTCTTCACACCACCCAGTAGTGAGGTTTCTTGACTTTGCTAGTAAAGGTAAAGGTGCGAAGGAAATAGTGTTGCCACTTGTCCGGTTTTCGTCCGATTTTGACATTTAATGTCCGGTGTCCGGCAAAGACCCAGAACCGGACCTTAGAATGTACGGTTTTGGTGAAAGTCTCAAAATGAATGCCCCTCCCTCAAATGAGGCAAAAGATTTGTGTTAAATCTGTCTCCAAATACAAATAGAGACATGTATTGTCCAAATCAAAATATTTCTTGGGTTTTATGTTTTTCTGTTATTTACGTTTTTAGTGAGCATGATCTTATTTAAATATAGGCCTATACAATCATTTAGCAAGATGCATTTTATTTTTCACAACAAAAGAAACATGCTGAAAGTGCCCATTGGGGGAAAGTGGAATCGATGTTTTCAATTTGAGTTCACTTTGCAATGTCCGGTGTCCGGCAAAGACCCAGAACCGGACCTTAGAATGTACGGTTTTGGTGAAAGTCTCAAAATGAATGCCCCTCCCTCAAATGAGGCAAAAGATTTGTGTTAAATCTGTCTCCAAATACAAATAGAGACATGTATTGTCCAAATCAAAATATTTCTTGGGTTTATGTTTTTCTGTTATTTACGTTTTTAGTGAGCATGATCTTATTTAAATATAGGCCTATACAATCATTTAGCAAGATGCATTTTATTTTTCACAACAAAAGAAACATGCTGAAAGTGCCATTGGGGAAAGTGGAATCGATGTTTTCAATTTGAGTTCACTTTGCTTTTAAAGTCCAGTGAGGCAAAACATTTGCTATGGTGTCTTAAATCTGACACCAAATACAAGTTGAGACATGTATAATAAAGTTCTTGGGTTTATGTTTTTGTGTTATTCATGTTTTTCATAAGCATGATCTTCTTTAAATATATACAATTATTAATAGTTAAGCTTAAAAATGATATGCCCCTCCCTCAAATGAGGCAAAAGATTTGTGTTAAATCTGTCTCCAAATACAAATAGAGACATGTATTGTCCAAATCAAAATATTTCTTGGGTTTTATGTTTTTCTGTTATTTACGTTTTTAGTGAGCATGATCTTATTTAAATATAGGCCTATACAATCATTTAGCAAGATGCATTTTATTTTTCACAACAAAAGAAACATGCTGAAAGTGCCATTGGGGAAAGTGGAATCGATGTTTTCAATTTGAGTTCACTTTGCTTTTAAAGTCCAGTGAGGCAAAACATTTGCTATGGTGTCTTAAATCTGACACCAAATACAAGTTGAGACATGTATAATAAAGTTCTTGGGTTTATGTTTTTGTGTTATTCATGTTTTTCATAAGCATGATCTTCTTTAAATATATACAATTATTAATAGTTAAGCTTCACACAAAAATATTGCTCTGTCCAACTGCAAATGCCAGGTCACAGCATCACAGGTTGATCCGACAGGGGGGAGGGGGGAGTCCAGGGCCCCAGGCCGATATGTCCGGTTTTCGAGTGACACAAATGTGGCAACAGTAGAAGAAAACCAAGTTTTAGTGTGGTTCAAGTGATTTGTTGCTGAGTGCAAGGGCTTCAGTGTCAGCCAGTGGGAGGAGGTATTTATTTTATATTGGTGATATTTAAGGGAATTAGTAACTAAGTGTACGTAATTTATGATATTGGGCAGCAAGGTGGTGTACAAAATCATGCACCTTTTTCCATTTTTGGTGACAGTTACGTGCAGTATCCAACTTTGCAATTATTATTGTTTAAATTATTCACAGTATAATATGTATAAATCTCTCTATTTTTCATACAAATGATGTAAATGAATGATTGGTAATTGTTTAAGAAGTGACTACACCCACTCATATTAAGTTCCAACTCCTGGGAATCCACAAACAACACCTATGAACTAAAAACCTCCCAAACCCAGGGGCTTCTCCCCCAGAGCCTCATCCAATTGCCATATTTCCCTATTTAGGGGACCCTGGACCCCCACCTGATCACTGTGGAATTGCTCTCCAAGCAGCAATTGTCACAACCTATTTTCTTCATTTAATACATTATTCTTTGCCAGTGTAAATTGTTTCAAGTATCTGTGAGTGCAGTTTTTCTCATTCTTCATGACAGTATCGTTATATTTTCCTGTATGCACATACCAAAGTAGCATGTCTTGCACATCTTTCATATTATTAATTTGGCAAGGAAATACCATAGATGAAATGTGTCTTATTTTCTGTCATTCTGTTTGTTACAGGCAAATTTACTTTGTACCATACATCTGTTTGAAACTGAAACTATACTGAGTTACCTGCTACATTTCATTTTTGGTGACAGTTACTGGCTACAAAAGTTTTTTGTTAGGTTGGCATATGAATTGTAGAGATTGTTTAGATAATTGATAAAAATCCAATATATATTTGTTTCTTCATACATGAATCTCTCCCAATAAAATGAAACATGAGGAATTTGAAGATGGTTATTTGACTTTTTTAACCAAAGAAACATAATTTCACCCAAAATAGAGAAGCCAGATGGGATGTTAGACAAAACATTGCCACATAAAACAAAGTTAATTAAAAATTACTGCACCATATGTTGTTTTGCATAACTGAAGTTTTTGCCAAGTGTTATACCTGGGAAGCTGTTCTAACAAATTGAAAATGGCTGCAAGTATTCTTTACTGTGTAATTTGGTGTTCTATAAAGATGCAAACATTTGAAGGTATTACAGTCAGAACCTTAAGGTAGAGAATTAGTTGTTTGTATTTCATCAGTGAAAGCAGAAAAACTCTGAGTTTGGATAACATATATACTTGATGCTGGCAGTTGATGTGATAACTTGTTTATGGAATAACATAATTTCCAAGCCATGGTCAGAACTGCACACAACACTTTTGGAGATGTCAAGAGTGCAGGGTTAATATATAACCAATATGATCATGTAAGGACTGGCTAGTGATGTTACTTATCACAGAATAGGTATATCAATCACCTGCTAATCAGTAGAGGAAAATACTCTGGGTTTGCAGCCATTTCAGCTTATCCAATATAGCATCAACTACTGATCTTTGTTTTAGGGTAATTTACCTAGGCAATGATTTTTTACCGATATTTCTTTAAAGAATGTAGCCAAAGTTATTTTTAAACAGTTGTCATATTTGTTATGATTTTTGTCTTTAACTTGTATAATTTCAAAGTATATATCTATAAAAGGGAAACTTTTTGAATATCAGTTTCAAGGGTCAAGGTTAATTTACTGGTAAAGATAAGCTTGCATATCTACTTATTTTGGAGACATGATTTTGACTAATTTATATATTTGTTTCTATACACATCCAAAACACTACCATGCTTCAGTTGTTTTATACATTTTAAAAATATTTTAGAGTAGTGTATACCTTATACCAGGCTTTCCCAATCTTGGTACCATGGGATACTTTCTA